TCAGCCTCCTCAAAAGTTAGTCGGTGAATTTATCAAAAGTGATCATGTACACTCCAATCGAAAATCAATCTATAGATTCATTAAGAGATCTAAATATCAACCTCCTCAGTTACAGGATTGAGCTCCCACATGACATCATAGGGAAAAGAACATTGATTTGCTCACACAAGTTGTTATGTTACTTGTTTTTCCTATTGAATCCAGGAGAAATATCACTGGATTGGGTTCCCAAAACATCACAATATAGATGACAGGCTCTTTCCAATCCATTTAGATTTCTTGGAAAAAAGGTCCCTTCACATGTCTTTCGACAATGGATATGCCAAATTAGATTTGGCCTTTATATAATAAACTGTGATAATCCATTAGCCAAGATCTCTTCCAGATGATTGTGTTTCAACTGCATATGTATGGACTTTTTATTGTAACACTCGTTGTGAGCTTGAAGCATCACAACCTTATTATCACGAAAATATTTCAAGGCCGGTATAAGCTTACTTCATATTAGAATACCCTCCAGTGAGATCCTTACCCAATTAACTTCCTTTTCAGTAGAGAAAGTGCAATAACATTCAGATTCCATCGAGGAATGAGTTATATAAGTCCACCCTTTTGATTTCCAAAAAATCATAACTCCAACCAAGGTGAAGATCTAAGTTGGTACGAACATTGGGCGTCCATAGCAAAGAACAACTAGGTAGTTGCAATAATGTGACCCATGATCCATAGTACTCTGCAAGTACCTCTATATTCTCATAAAAGAAATTCAATGATCTCTTCCCAATTATTTCTGTACTTAACAACAAGTTGTGTTTACCTTGGTGCAGTTTATTGCGTCATAAAGACCACCAATAATTTGAGAATTCAAGTTGATTCTCTGCACTGCCTTGATTGAAAACTGACTCCTATCTGGGATCAATTAGAACAAAGACTGCATCTTTGATAAGATTTTGAACCTATCAAGATTAACTGATAAAATTAGATTGCGTGAAGTTAAATCCATGTTGAGGCCCAGACTGTCATTTACATAATCACACCGGCCTCCCTAAGATCCATCATGTCAAAAGTTCAAGTTAAGAACTTTATAGGCAAATAATAATTGCCAGAATTTCCTAGGAATCTCTTCTTATCAATATGAAATTCAGCTGCAATCATTGCTTTCTTAAACATTTATTCCTTTATTTAAGAGTTTTAAAAATTGAGCTTTCAAGGATAAAAATTAGTATCATCAATAAAATGATAACATGTCAAAATGGATCAAATTTTCAGTATTATTGTCTTTACAACACATCAATAAAAGTTTATATACTACATGTAATGCTTTGATCCACACGAATCTTACCATTGGTTATCCTTTTGATTAATGAATTTAAACTCATGTAATCAAGTATATGACATGCCATAAATTAAGAAATTTATAATAACCAAAAATCAGTTTTATAACTGGAAAGCATATCGTTAATAGAGTGGCTCATTTCGACAATTATACGAATTTTAGATGAAAAATTGATGAATTTAAAACTCACCTCGAGGCCATTATTTGCAAATCTAAAAGCCTCATTTAGATGTATCACTTATCAGAAATTATGCTTGTGCATGCCACTTTAGAAGTTGAAGAGTCCTCCTCCTATATTGTTATTTGATCCCCCTATTAGTCATAGATCTTGTATGATTTTGACTAATTGTAATGTGGAGAGATGCTCTAGTTTCAATCCACCGATGGCACAAGTCCAGAAAGACAATAAACTTCTTATGTGATCTCTTTATTCATCACAAAATATGATCTAATCAGTCGGAAAGTGACCTACTAGAGCTTTCCACTTTCAAGAAATAAACATAAATATATTCAAAATGATCATCAATAAAGTGAGGAGGTAGCACTTTATGTTAAAATACTAGGTTTATTTCAAAAGTACGAGGAGGGATCAACTCTAAGATATCACTTTTCTTTCAACATAGATGAAAGACCAATAAATTTTCATATGCTACCTATATCCATATAGGTTTTGCCATAACCTTTCAATCAATCCCTAACAGATCCATTGATAAAAGGATTCAGTACGTTCATTGATTAAGTTTATAACATGCTATAAATTAATAAACTTATCAATATAAACATATAGTATTTTATAAGTTTAGAAATACCTTAATGAAATGTTTATTTCAAAGAACATACCAAATTCAAAGATAATCTTGAAGCCACACTAGAAACGCAATTTCATCCAATTGCCTGTGTGCCTCTCAATATAGGGATATTGGGTTGCACTATTCCCCCACTAATTAATAGGTATGGAAGAATTTTGATCCCTTTATTAGGTAGAGATGCCAATTCAATCCACTTTGTGACCTTCTCATTGATCAAATTAAAACTTGATTAGATAGTGTTTTGTCACCCATGAGCAGTTGGACATGACTTAGTCAGTGCAATTTCATTTTCCTTTTCCACATAGTTGTTAAATTTTTTTTTTTTAACCATATAAAACCTCGATATTCGATTGAAACACCATTGGATAACAACGAAGATGAAGTCATAGGAGAGAAAACTATTTTCAAATTATTGGAACCAATATATTAAAACAGTGAGTAACGAGGTTTAGAGGCGTGTAATCGCTTCTTGAAGATAGTTGAAGCCTCTTCCACGTGCAATAGAAGCCAAATGACAGTACTATCTCCGGGATTTAACTAAGCCCAGATATCAAATCTGTATGTTCATGAAGGTTGCACTTCTCTTCATGAACCTATGTATTTATCTCCGTCTGATCAACTGAAAGTATGAAACTCACACAATCAAACTCAATAGTTTGAAAATACTTTTTCAAATCTCCTTTTCTCCCTTACTTGTATTGAGAGTGTGTCAATCATAGGCTACGTAGGTATTTTATTTATACTAGTATAAGTGGGGATGTAATTAACATAACATTAATGAACCTATACTTAGTATGTTCATAAATAACATATTAACTAGACTACGTTAATACATCAGTGTAGAAAAGTTTATTAAAACTTCACTATAACTTCACTAAAACTTCTTTAAGAATTAGTTGGAGTTTTAGTAATTAATAACTAATAAATTTGAAACACATAACTCCAACAGATAAAATAGGTTTAGGATTTGTTAAGGGCTCATCGAATAATCAGGGTAATACAGTTTTTGTGAAACCTGTTAATCAAAATGTGTCTGATCTTTAACAAAAAAAAAAAATGTGTCTGATTCTATTTTGGTTGATTCTTTGCATTCTAATATGTCCTATGTGTCTAATGTGTTGCGTTACACTTTCTGTGGGAAAATTAGACATAACCAACGTTCTTGTTTTCGCAAGAAAAAGAAAAGTTTTACTAACATTCATTCTCAAGGGTCTCATCTTTGAATAAGGTGCATACTAAGAAGAATCAGAGTTTTACGTCACAAAATAATTCTAAGGTTAGAAATTTGCCTAATAAGAAAGTCAAATCTGAAAAATCTTTTCAAAAATTGAAAGTGAAGACTGTGTGGATCAAGAAAGAGGAGTTAGTCAATTATGTACCAATTGATTCTATAGAACTAGTTTCCGAAAGGTCATTAGGTGCAAAACCTTCAAACAAAGTCCTAGGATGGTTGAGTGATCATGGAATGTGTTGATTAAAAATTTGTTTCCATTGGATCAGCTTTTGAGAATCTAGGGTTTGGTTATGGTTTTGAGGAAAATTTGATCCTTTTTTTTGTTCATGATGATATATGTGAAAAATTCTTTCAGGTGAATTTATGATCTGTTTGTGAATGCAAATTGTGACACATGATGATTTGATAAAAATAGATTCTTGGTTTGTAATATATACAATGAAAAACAATTTGCATTAATTATGTGAATTTTAGATTTGAATCTGTCTATATCTTTTTGCACACTAGTCCATCTCTGAGAAAATTAATTGAAAATCATTGAAATGTTGACTATGTTATATTTCTCATAAATGCTATAGAAGTTATTGTTAAAAAAAATATATGAGCATGAAAATTTAAAAAAGATATATATATATATATTCAGCATGAAAAGAAACGAAAAAATTGAAATTTGCTGAACTCTTTGTTGAGAAAAAGGCTACCTATTGAGTTTGGGTCGAAAGCTCCTATTAGACTTTGAAGTGGAGAGATAAAGCAATGGGATTAAGAGAAGAGAATGAGAGAGTGGGGAAAGATGTAGGGTTTGAAAGGATCAATGTTGTGAGGTGATGAAAGAATGCATGTAATTTCTGTGGATGTAGCCCGGAAAAGGTGAATGAGTGAGTGCATAAGTAATATGTGAGGTTTTGACATCTATGTTTGTATATTTTCTTCTTTGATACATAATAGTGAAACTTCTCTCTCTATGAGAACAAAACCCTAGAGTTAGATGAATCATGTAAAATATTGTCTTGTGTATGTATGATTTTTTATCTCCATATATGTTTATGTGATAATATGATAATGATGTTTCTGCTGTGTATGATGAAAGAGAAAGGCCAAGAGTTGGTTGGATGAAGTTAATATTTCAACGGAAATATTGAACATGATAAACTTAATTTTTTGTTCAACTAACTGTGGAACAAGGCAGCAAGCCAAAAAAAAAAAAATAGTAGTGCAGTAATGATACATTAATCGACATTTAAATAGTATGTCCTTAGTCGCAAAAATTATAGTAAAAAGAAATTGAAATTAAAATTTTGGTACATGACATACATCGTACATGAGTGCAAGAAGAGAAAAAAAAATGGTACAATACATACATAATACATGAGTGCAAGAAGAATAAATTTAAGAACAGAAAAAAAGGAGGAGGATGAGGAGAGAGAAAAATCAGGGAACCTTGAGGGAAAAAAAATTAGAATTTGATTGGGGAAGGGGAATGCCCTTTTTTGTTTTAATTCTTGCATTGTTTATAAATAAATAAAAATTGTAAAGGTATTTTTTTCTTAATTTATCATTTTATTTAAACACTTATTTTTTATACAGGTCATAAAGCTTTACCAAGTACAATTTCGATCCATCATGTAGCAAGTACACTAACAAGAGAACATGGCGTTGCAACAACAAGTAGAGGATATTTTTTGTGGACACTTATACCAGGGGCTTCAGTGATGTCAAAATCCTCTTCTGTTGCCCCATCTGGCAATGCAAAATCAAACTTATGAACAAGATTTGCTAATGCAAGCTCATTGACACTTGTGGTAAATTGGATGCCCGGACAACCCCTACGGCCAGCTCCAAATGGAATAAACTTGAAGTCATGCCCTTTAAAATCTATAGATTTATTCAAGAACCTCTCTGGCCTGAAATCTTCAGCGTCTTTCCACAACAATGGGTCTCTCGCAATTGCCCACGCATTGATAAATACTTGTGTGCCAGCTGCAATGTCGTAGCCCATTACTTTGACATCTTGGGTTGATTCCCTGGGAACTAGTAATGGGGTTGGAGGATGTAACCTTATAGACTCCTTGATCACTGCTTTCAAGTATTGCATTTTCTCTACATCATCCTCCGTTATTTCTAGCTTGCCTCTGGCAATTACTCGCACCTCGTGTTGCAGTTCGTTCATGGCTTTCGGATGTTTCAAGAGCTCTGTCATCGTCCACTCTAGAGCTGTGAATGTAGTATCAGTTCCAGCCGCAAACATATCCTACAAAAAAACAAAAGATAGATAACAGAGGTTAATTGACAAAGAAAAAAAAGAGCAAAATATTTGGAGTTTTTCTTTCTTTTTCTTTTTCCCGGTATACACGGACACTTAAAAAATTATTGCTTATAAAAGTTTAATATGTCATTAAGCTTGTGAAAATATTTTTGAAAGGGAAACAAAAAGTCCCTATAAATTATTGAATAAGAGTAATTACAAAGAATAATCTTATGTGTAGTGAGCACAAATTGTTTTAGGACAATGATTCTTAGACTTAACAGTATAATTGAAGAGAGACTAGCCCAAAAAATCTTATCAATTGAATGTATTGGAAATGGCAAAAACTTTAATCTTATTCAATGCGTTTAAAACTTTCATCTAGATGACTAGAGGGAAAAAAATCATCTAGACTATTTCGTTAAACTAGTAGGTCTAATCCAATAACATTGTTCATCGTGTCGTACGTGCTAAGTATGTTCCCTAAGGGTTCCTTTGGTTGGTGTGAAGTAGGTAGAAAATAAAAGAAAATAAATAGGAAAAAACAAAAATTATTAAGATTTTGCTTGGCCTCAAAAGAAAAATTTGAAGGAAACTAATATTTTCGCAACTGACTATTTTTTTCCAAAAGGTTTCTGCACAAAACACACCAAAATAAAATTTTCAAATAAAAGGAGGGATTATTTTCTAGCTTCCAAAATTTACCCAACAACTTCTTTTTTTGTTTTATTGGGTTTAAAAGAACTGCACACCAACAAGGACTTCCTTTTCTTACGAATAATTGTTTTTCGTTTGATATGAAAATCGAATAAAGAGTAGTTTGTTGGGTCTGTATTAACTTAAAAAGTCCATCCTTTATAGATATATATATATATATATATATATATATATATATATTATTAATAATTAATTTTTTTTTGTTATTGATAGCATTATATTCAAATTCATTCATTTATAAAATTATTAAAATATAAAACGACTCAACTTGTATACATTTCTATTCATGGACCTTATTACATGAAATAGACATTAAAAATAAAGAATCAATAATTTTTTTTTTTTTCTAGTTGGTACTCAAACACATATGTCTCCACTGAGACTCGAACCTCTAACCTCCCTTTGAACAATAGGGGCCTGATACCGCTAGACCACTACTTGTTGGTTACTTTTCTTTTCATTTACTTCACTTGTTTTTATATTTTTTATTTTATTTCTTTTTTTAATAGTTTTATCTAACCAGGCTCTGCCTGAAAGAACCAACCAAAATAAAAAATCTAAAGAGCGCTGACCATTAGATATATAAATGTGGGACAGAGTTTAGTTTCATACTAACGTGGTTATTAGTTTTATAGTATGCATGGCATGGTATAGGTGGAGATCACCTTTACATAAGGTGTGCTATTCACAAACAGCGTGAATCCTACTCTATATGATGGAGATAATTTTCGCCATTCTCTGTGCATGAAAACTTTATCTATTTAAATTCTCAAACGATTAAAAAATATGTTTCATAAATTTTATAATTTGTGCAGTGACATTTTTTAAATGTCAATAACCATAGAGAATTATTTTTTATTTCTTGCAAGTAATAACCATAGAAAATGTCAATTGAGTAGTTCATGACATGTGACTACTTCTCATGAACGTGGACTAGTTATATGTTGTGTACGTGACATCCTGTAATCAAAATGTTTTCGTTGATTAAATTTTGAAGAAGCGAGGTAGTAAACTTACCAAGATGAGAGCTTTGATGCTGTCTCTTTGAAGAAGAAAGCCATCCGTGTTCTCTCTTTGAATCTCAAGCAAGACATCCACGAAGTCCTGCTGTTTTTTATCTTGATCACCACTCCCACCACCATTGCTCTCTTTTTTCTTACTATCAATATGATCTTCAATTACACCCTCTAAAAATTCATCGAGCTCTTTAGCAATTTTCTCGACTCTAGCATTTAAACCGTTGATTTGATTCAACCACGCAAGCCAAAGAATATAGTCCCCCAAATTGAATTCACCCATTAGTTCCCCAATATCTCTCAAAAGATCCTTAAACTTTCTACCACTTTTTGATATTCGACTGTACTTCCTCCCTAGGGCTACCCGACACACTACATCATTCGTAAGTGAAACAATCATTTCACTCAAATCCACCGGTGAAGAAGAAGCAGCATGTTTGATCTTCTCGATCAAAAGGGCTGTTTCTTCTTCTCTCACTCTATGAAAAGACTGAACCCTCCTATTACTCAAAAGGTTGAGCACACAAATGCTTTTTACTTGCCTCCAATACTCTCCATAAGGAGTGAACGCAACGTCCTTATCATAGAAAACTCTCCGTAGAATGCTTGATTTAGGTCTGTTTGAGAAGATGAGATCATGGGTTTTCATAATCTCGCGAGCTGCATCAGCGGAGGAGACAAAAAGAACTGGCTTGCTGCCGAAGTGAAGCAGTATGAGTGGGCCATATTGTTGAGCTAATGATCGGAGGGAGCGATGAGGGAACACACCAAGTTGGTGGAGGTTTCCGATAATTGGGAGCTTTGGTGGAGAAGGTGGCAGATTTCTTTTGGTTTTTGCAGTGGACAACCATTTGAAGAGGAAGAATATGGAGAACAACAATGGAGGGACATAGTAAAATAGAGTTTGCAATAAGAGCAGCATAACTTGTTCCTCTGGAGAGCTAAATCTAAAGGATCTCTTATGAACAAAGCAATCTACTCGGTGTATAGTTTCTACTACTGGAATGGGATGAATGGGCATATTTATATCTGGGATAAGTGGGCCCTATTTATATCTTCTCTTGGATGAATGCATTTGGCAAGCGATAACATTTAGAAAATCAATTCTAATCGTCACATATGATAATTGGTTTTTTATCTTGGATGAAGGCATTTGGCAAGTGGTAAAATTTAGAAAAATGTAATCATGGCATATTCTAATTGGTGTTTTTCCATTTGTTTTTACATGTAGAGACAATGACTATGCACATGAATGATGAGACAAAGGAAAAATTAGCCTAAACAAACAAAATCTTAAAAGCTAGAGAACACAAACTTTGAGAACCATCCAAAATTTTGAAGACAAATCTACAGGTGGTCTTATTATGTGAGAGTCATTACCAAAGAAAAAGTGGGGTCCAACGGAACATTTACCTCATATTACTGGAAAATGGGAAAAGGATTCTTATCTACCAAGGGAGATTCTGGTAGGGCACCTTCAAAATATTGTAAAATTCTCAAGTTGAAAAATTCTAAAATACTTCCTGGATTCTCCCAATGGATGTGGTGGTACAGGACCCCTAAATATAAGAGATGAATGCGGGATGATTCAAATAAATTAGAAAGAGCTAGAAAGGTAGTTTAGTGGTACTTTCTAGGTTGAAAGATACTTAAGTTTGTTGCAACTTCATAGAATAATTTTGAAATCGTTGGAAGATAAACATTCTAAAAGAAAAATATCCATAAACAACACATTTTAAAATTCAGATATAGAAATACATTTTAAATTTGATAACTTGGGACATAGAACTAGATTTCAAATTGGCTCTTAGTAAAGTTTAAATTTTATTGCGATACAAATAATGTTGAGGTTGTGGAGCCTAAATCACAAGTTTTGATGCAAGTATTATTGTCTCAATCGAAGTTTTGATGGATCGACCTAAGCCCCACTTGAATCGACAGAATTATCTTTGAAATCCTGAGAGCAAGAAAAATCTCGCTGGAACTTGACTTCTTTTGATCGATTGAAACCATAGCTAGTTTGATCGACGTAAATAAGAAGCTGCAATATTTGTTTCCCAAATTGAAGATCGATTTGTTTCCAAAAAGCTCTAAACTTGTGGGGTAAGTTGTTAATAAATATTGGGTTCTGTATCAACCCTAGTGTGTCATGACGTGTGTGACATATTGTGGAGAGAGATATACACGCTTGACAACAAAAATTTCTAATTACAAATTTATATCTCACAGACTAATGAAGCGAGAGCAAGTCTAGATATAGAGAAATCATGATTCAGGTTATTCCCTCTTCAGTGGTGAGCACATCAAGCTATTAACTCTATCCAAGAATGTTGGAGTACATAGAATCTGCAATGTACATGAAGCGATGAGATGTCCACATGGGAACAACAAAGGAACATTTGAAAAAAAAAAGATGGCCATGTGACTCATGTGATTCACGATTCGTATTGCAGAGAACACAGAGTAATGTGTTCAAGTGTGAAGTACAAGTCTATTCAAGGTGGGCTGTCTAAGCTTAACCGCTACCCATAAGGTAAATGAGTGTTTAGGAATTGAGGGTTTGGACCATCTCAGCAGATGAGGCCACGGAAGTGAAGGTATATGATGGTTTAGGAACTTCATAGTATTTGCTATTGAAAATTCCCCAGATAGAGAGGGTCCCCATTTGTATCTGTCTTCTCTGTGAGGGCATGGGATCGGGAGGCTAATGGTTTGATGTAGAGCAGGAATGAGAATGGTGAGAGCATCTGGGAAGGACCATGTGGAACATGTGATGAAGGAGCTTACTTTGGTCTTGCAATCAAAGGTTGAGTCATTAAGTTGTTGTGATGAGATTCTTTGGTGAAGTGGCCCAAGATGGCCTTCCTCAAATCAAAAGTTAGCCTTCCTACCATTTTTGCTTAAGAGAAAGAGTGAGAGAAGAGAGAAAAGGGAGATAGAAGAGAGTAGAAGGTGAAAAACTGAGAGAGAGAGAGAGAATAAGAAGAGAGATCTAAACAGGTTGTAGAGTGTGTTAAAATATATAAAAGGGTATTTTGGGGTATTTAATGAAATTTTTATGCCATAATTTAACCTCAATGAATACGTAGTATTTTTTCAGGATCTCAAGATTGAAGGAGCAATTTGTACACATTTTTCAAATATTGAGAAGTTATATGATCATACTAAATAGACAAGGAGTTGATGCAGATTTTTATATAAGATGAAGTTTCTTGCATTTTACCAAAAAAAAAAATTATAATAATAAAAAAAAAAAATCTAACCCAAAAAAAATTATAATAATAAGAAAAATTAAGAGAACTTTGAAGGCAAAAAAATTAGAATAGGATGAAAGAACATATTGCTCATTTTATTTTTTTTTAAAAGGGAGTCAAAGAAATCAAAAGAGAAAGAATAAACAAAAAATATATATATAAGAGATATTTTTTAGGGAAAATTACATATAAATGGAGTTAAAGTTCCATATTTACTTAGAGGCTGAGTCAAAGTTCCATATTTCTCTAAAATGGATTGCTGAGGTGGCACATGATTTTTTACTGTTTAGAAATTGTGATGCCTAAAATACCCTTCCGCGAAGGTACTACTTTTTCTTCGAAAGTACTACTTTTTTGAACTGAAGGTACTACTTTTTGGCGTCCAGGTACCATGTTTTTTAAACACTCGCGAAGGTACTACTTTTTCTCCGAAGGTACTACTTTTTTGAACTGAAGGTACTACTTTTTTGAACTGAAGATACTACTTTTTTATTAGGGAAGGGCATTTTAGGCATCACAATTTTTTAAACAGTAAAAAATCATGTGCCACCTCAGCAATCCATTTTAGAGAAATATGGAACTTTGACTCCGTCTCTAAGTAAATATGAAACTTTGACTCCATTTATATGTAATTTTCCCTATTTTTTAAACTTACCAATATATATGTATTAGCAAAATGCTTCAATAGTTTAGTATTTCGCGTAAATTTTGACTTGGGTGTACTCCACTCCCCCCTCTCCTTACGAGCCTATACTGCTTCGTCCCTACACCGAGGGACATGTGTCACGAGCAATGTAAATCTTGTGAGGGCAGAATGACCTTTATTTATGTTCTAATTCTTGCATTATTTATAAAATAAAATAAAATATTGTAAATTTATTTTTTTTTTTTCCTAATTGTTTATTTAAGCACTTATTTTTTCTACACGTCATAAAGGTTTACCGAGTGCAATTTCAAACCATTTATTCGGCAAGCACACTAAATTACTAATCAAGAGAACATGGAGTTGCAACAGCAAGTAGAGGAAATTTTTTGCGGATGGTTATACCAGGAGCTTCGGTTATGTCAAAATCCTCTTCTCGTGTCCCACCCGGCGATGCAAAATCAAACTTACTAACAATATTTGCTAATGCAAGCTCATAGACAGCTGTGGCAAATTGGATACCCGGACAACCCCTCCGGCCAGCTCCAAATGGAATGAACTTGAAGTCATGCCCTTTGAGATCTATTGAAGCATTCAAGAACCTCTCTGGCCGGAAATCTTCAGCTTCTTCCCACAACAATGGGTCTCTCCCAATTGCCGAAAAATTGATTAACACTTGTGTGCCAGCTGCAATGTCGTAGCCCATTACTTTGACATCTTGGGCTAATTCCCTCGGAATTAGTAATGGCACTGGAGGATGTAATCGCAAAGACTCTTTGATCACTGCTTTCAAGTATTGCATTTTCTCTAGATCATCCTCGGTTATTTCAGGCTTGCCTCTAGCTATTCCTTGCACCTCATTTTGTAGCTCTTTCATGACTTTTGGATGTCTCAAGAGCTCTGTCATTGTCCACTCTAGAGCAGTGGATGTAGTATCAGTTCCAGCAGCAAACATATCCTACAAGAAAAAAAGATAGATTATAGAGTTTACTCGATCGAAGCCAAAAAACATATCTTCTCATTTTCTCTGGCTTTCGATGCGTCTCCTTTTATAGGAGAAATTAGGCTTCCACGCATTAACTCCCTCAATAATTCCCTCAGCCCAAATCTGGTGCAACATTCAGAGAAGTCTTTAATCCTTATGCACTGTTCGGCCCATTTACTAACGCTTTCACTTTCTTATTTTTACTTTCTCCGAAAGTAAAATTATAATTTTCATTCCTTGCACTGAAATAAAAAAGGAAAATGACGTTGAATAAGAAGATTTTATTTTTAATATTTTGAAAGCAAAAAAATAAAAAGTAAGTTTAATAATTTTGATTATTATTTTGTTTTCCCTATTATCTTTCCCTCTAAATTCTTTTTATCTTTCTCCCTCTAATATATATATATTTTTATCTGGGTTTGATGAGGATGAATACAGAGTATGTATGCGCGTGTGTATATATATATATATATAAGAGAGGAGGAGTAGTGATAAGCTTGGTCACTGGTCTACATCACGAAGACCCCCCAATTGATGAACCTCAGTTACAGAAGACCCAATTGATGGATGAACCTCAGTTACAGCTCCGGCAAAAACGACTTAGTCAAGAAGCTATCTCTGAGCTAACAAGATCAAATTAGCCTTCAACGATGGGTTTTTCAATTCAGCGATAAATTGCTTATTGGGTCTCAGAGAGTATGTCTGGAATTCGTTGAGAAACCACGTGAAAACAGCTTGCCGCCGATGATGGAGAGTCGACTTCATCTTCTCTGATTCGTCTTTATGTGACTGGTTTAAGTTGATTTGAGTATATTATTGATGGGTTTTGATGTGTATGGGAGAGGAGAGAGATGGTTATGGCAGTGGCTATGGTGAGGAGGAGATGGGTGGAGGTCATGGTGATACGTAATTTTGGTGTTGGTGGCCATGGTGTGGAGGAGGTATGGCGAAAGTAATTCTTATGAATAATGTAGAAAGTAAAAAAAGTAACAAATTTTTCCTTTTTCTTTTCTTCATTAAGTGTTAAATATTTTTTTAAATATAAAAAATAAAATTATATTAATAAATATAATTTTTATTTTTATTTCTTATTTTAAAAAATTAAAAGTAGAAATTAAGAATCATTCATGTTATTAGACACGCCCCAAATAAATTTTGTCAGAAAACAGTCTCTGACAGAAGGGACAAAGAGCCCAGAAAAAGCAATTTGGAGCCACAAATGTCAAGGTGGCAGACAATCCCATAAGTGAGAAAAAGAAGTCAAAAGGCGTGGCAACCATTTCGCCCATGTCTGTCATATTCAACGAATCTCCACCCCAAATTTTGTAGACCTTTCCAAAATGAAATTTTCTTTAAAATATGATCCTGCCTCCAAATGCGCCCAAAGGTGATGTTAATTAACTCTAAGCAGTGGTCAAATTGATGTTGATGTGTTTTGTACATGAATACTCATTCTCTTTAGATATCATTTTTTAAGAGTTAAAAATTTTTAAGAAAATATATGAAACATGTCTTATTTTTTATGTTTTGTTTTTTTAAAAAGTTATTAATTTATCTTTTTAAATTTTAAATATACAAGTCTAAAATTTTAAACTACAAAGATATATATGAAAATATATAAAATATATTATTTGAAAAAAAAAATGACAATTATTTTTAGACCGACCAAAAAAGAAAACATGACATTTTTTTTAAAACAGAGGGAGTAAAAGATTTTTAATTTTTTTTTTTTGGCCCAAATCATTTTCTTTTAGACAAATAGTGCCTAGACAATATATTTTTTATTCATGAATTTTTTTTTTTTTTTTTTAAAAGCTCAAAATTAATAACCCATTTTTGGGCTTTTTATCCAAAAATACTTGCAACCAAGGCATTATTAATTGATCGTTGCTGGCAGATTTCAAAATAAAAGAAAAACACTCTTTCAAAAAGGACGCCATTTTAATAGAGAATAAGACAAAAATAAAAAAATAAAATGAAATTACAGCGATTGGCTTAGGCTGGCGGAATATTGGGCCCTAGCTCGCTAGCCCTTGTGGGCCCGTCCATTTTCCACTAAGCTGGTAGAGTGCTACTGGTCGGTTTGGCTCGTGAAAAGGGTCTTTCCCGAGCCCTGGCCGTGGATGCTCTAAGGGACTCTACAGGTAAGGTGTTAAAAGCTATCATTCATTTCCTTCCTAAGCATGAACACTTAAAAATTTAATGCTTAAAAAAGATTAAAATGTCATTAATCTTGTTAAAATATTTAATGAAGGATATCAATAAGTCAGTATAGTTTCTTGAGGAGTAATTTCAAATAAAAGAAATTAGGTCCAAGCAGTACAAATTGCCTCAATGATACCGTCGTGAAAGAATTACCAACTTTCAGTAATTTTCTAGGCTCTCTGTCAAAGCTTTAACTATGCAAGAACAGTATTTCATTGGAATCTCATCCTTTTTATAAATTTGTTCAGACCTACCATCAAGTTTATGTCATTGGAAACTCATCCTATTTTACTTCTCAAGCGATCATAAACCATGTTGTTTAAAATATTTTATATTTCCTGTAGTGACATTTTTTAAATGTCAATAAGTACCTTAAAAAAAAAAAGGTCACTTTAGTAGTTTGTAATTTAAGCCTTTCAATTACTATCATGTTCATCGCAAATGACTATTTCTCATGTGAAAGACAAGGTTATTTACCAACAACGGAAAATAAATAAATAAATAGATAGAATTACCAAGATGAGTGCTTTGATGGTGTCTCTGTCAAAAGAGAAGTCATCCGTGTTCTGTGTTTGAATTTCGAGCAAAACATCCACGAAGTCCTGTTGTGTTTTAGCTTGATCAACACTTCCACCACCATTGCTCTCTTTTTTCTTCTTATCCACATGATCTTCAATCACAACCTCCAAGAATTCATCGAGCTCTTCACCAACTTTCTCCACTTTAGCATCAATACCCCTAATTTTATTCAACCACCAAAGCCAAGGAATGTAGTCCCCCACATTGAAAGCACCCGCTAGTTCCCCGATATCCCCCATAAGCTCCTTAAATTTTCTACCACTTTTTGAGCTGTCACTGTACTTCCTCCCCAAGACTATCCGACACACCACATCATTCGTAAGTGAAGAAAACATTTCACTCAAATTCACCAATGAAGAAGAAGAAGATGAGGAAGCCCGTTTGATCTTCTGGATCAAAAGAGCTGTTTCTTCTTCTCTCACTCTACCGAAAGACTTAACTCGCCTATTACTCAGAAGGTTGAGCACACAGATGCTTTTTACTTGCCTCCAGTACTCTCCATAAGAAGTGAATATGATGTCCTTATCATAGAAAACTCTTTTGCCAATGCTTGACATTGATTTAGGTCTATTCGAGAAGATGAGATCATGGGTTTTCATGATCTCGTGAGCTGCATCAACAGAGGAGGCGATGACAACTGGCTTGCCCCCAAAGTGAAGCAGCATGATTGGGCCATATTGTTGAGCTAATGGTTGGAGGGAACGATGAGGGAACACACCAAGTTGGTGGAGGTTTCCGATAATTGGGAGTTTTGGTGGAGAAGGAGGTAGATTTTTTTGGGTTTTTGAAGTGGACAACCATTTTAAAAGGAAGAATATGGAGAAGAACAATGGGAGGAGAGAGTAAAATGGAAGATGCAATAAGAACAACATAACTTCTTGCTCTGGATAGCTAATCCTAGCTAGATATTTTAATGTGGCGGAAGCGAAAGAAAAATAAATCTCACTGAAATAACAGAGAGCAAAAGCTCTAAAAGAATACTTGAGTTGGTTAATTTCATTTTGCAATTCTCATTATATATAGAAATTTCGTGCACTTGCATCTTTAAAAAAGTCATTTGGTAGCGGCCCTATGGATTGGAAAAACCTTGTTTTTCTTCTGAGCATTTAATTTAGGAAAATTTCCTAAATAGTCATATTTTTGAAATAAAAAGACAATCAAGTCCTAAAATTTTTTTTTGGGACAAATAAGTCCTATTTTTGTAATTTTTTTTCAAATTAGTTCAAATTAATATATTTTTCCAACATTACCCTTGCTTTTTCCTTTTTTTCTTTCCTCCCGATCTCTCTTCAACGACGAGCTCAGAATCCGGTAGAATTGTTCTTCTTGCATGACTCCAGCGATGCCTCGACGACCTTTTTGGACCAAGCTGTTGGGATTTATATGCCCTGACATAGCAAATTCCTATCTGGATTGTATTGACATATGTTCCTGACATATCTGAAATATTTATGATTTATATAATTGGTGAATTCAATGTATTATGTTTCAATTCACTATGAAATTGATAGTGTCCAGTTAATTACAAGAAATATTTATATATATGTATGTGATGACAATCAATGCATGATATATAAATAGTAATTATAAATTGTTCATAGTCGGTAATTATGGATGGACTCATAATTAATTAAGACTTGAACTGGATCCGCGTTAGGTTGAGATATATTGCGAGAGCCGTCGTATGCAATTACTCCCTATCACCGTCATGGCATTTGACTCTTAAGCATGAGAAAAGTATAGACTCTTTTATTAATTAATAATTACTTTGATTTGTTCGGCGGATTCTTCGGGATCCTTAGACCGACACTTTGGGTAGTTATGTAATTAATAGTTAGAGGGTTATATTTTCAATATTTGCATCATTGCTACTTGTATTTATTTTGTATTGATTATGGTTGATCACAAAGTAAATTCGAAGGCCTTCGTGTGTTTTTAGACAAAATGATTTATTATATATTTATTTATTTAAATTATTATTTTTGTCAAACAAATGTTTTATTGTGATCGAGCCAGAAATAATCAAAGGTACCAAAATAAATATATTAATTAAGTAGTCGAATTGATGGCTATATTTATCCGATAACTAATTATGCATAGAGGGGTCAAAGTGCAATATTTATTATTTAATTGGAGTTCAATTAATTTCTTTTAGTGGAGTAGAAATTAATTTATGAATTAATTGAATTGGGTCCATGGACCGGGCCAATTATTAATTCATTGTAGCCAATAAAATAATAGGCCCAATGGATTCTCACTCATAGCCCAACTTGATATTGGAATCATATTAGATTTGAGACATATGAATTAGAGATGGAGAAGGATTTGTTGTTTCCTTTTCTTTATTTTTATGTTGCCTATAAATATACATGGTCTATGTATATTTTAGGGGGTGATTTTTATGAGAAGGAAAAAGGAATAAATTTTCTCTCTCTAGAAAATTAGGGTTTATGTTCTCATCTAATGGAGGCTCCCACAAGCCTAGTTTTCCAAGGTCATTCAAGGAGGCTTATGAGTGAATCCTAAAGGCAAGACCATTACCAAGAAGATGGAGATCCATGGAAAAGATGTCTAGTAAAAGGGATCTACAATAAGTGAGAACATTCACTTTAGAGGAGAGATCTGAGGTTTACTCAAACTTTGATGTAAGTATTCAATCTTTTAGTTGAATAATACATCATATTTTATTTTATTTTTTTGCATAAAACTTGTGTCTATGTGATGAATCAAGATCTATGAATTTAAATCCCTCGAAAAGTTTTTAAAACTAGCACGTTTCCCAACACAAGCAACACCTCCAATGCTTAGTTAAACATTTTAGTTTTGGATTATGGGGTTTGGGATGTGACAGATCTTGCCATTGGGATTGAAATGTACTCTAATTAGTCCTGTCATTATTGGCATAGTGATTATGGATTTTCTAAGTAGCACAATGGCTACTTTATGGGTTGTATGGCGTGAGAGTTTGAAACAGAGAAGAGAGGAGAGAAGAGAGCGAAAAATAGAGAAAGCAAGCAAAATTAAGGGTAATGTTGAAAAAAAAAAAAAATAGATTGTTTTGAATTTATTTAAAAATAAATTATAAAAATATAATTTATTTATCCTAAAAAAAAAAATTTAAGACTTAATTGTCTTACAACTTCAAAAGTAAGACTACGGAGGAATTTTCCATCACAAGTCTTCATTGACGGCTTCAGTTCGACTCCATGCTTCATTTCCAAAGATGGGCCCAACTATTTCCACACAAAAATCTTCCTTGTTTTCCGCGCTATCATACATATCCGTGCTCCTTTTCTCGCTGAATTCCCATTCCCAATACAGACTTCACCTTCTTTCTTAAACCCCACACATGTTTCCCTTATTGTAGCATAATATTATATATTATATAGGGCAACTTTTAGTCTTTTTTTAACAAAATTTCTTTGTCTATTTTTTGTATCAAAGAATTCATTTTGACTTGTATTTTTTTTTTAATAAATTTTTCTTGTCTAATTTTTTACTAAATAACTCTTCTCAACTATTTAAAAGGGGTAAAAGAGTTGGTATTTAGACCAAAATACCTTTTTATTTAAATCTTAATTCTTTCGAATTTTAAAAATTCATATATCACAAACAGTACATTTAAAAATTATAAATAATATATGCACGGAAAGCTTATAAGATAAGGATTCTAAAAATATAAAATTTGTATAATAAACCTTCATAACCAGAGAAAAATAAGCAATCTAAAAATCTACTCCAATAATCTTATTTTATTTTAAAAAAATAAAATACTCGAGATATTTGTAAGAAAATTTTCATGATCATTCATTTACATATGGAGTCGAATATATAAAAAAAATTTAATGCCAACAGAGATCGATTTCATGAGATATCATACTTTGCGTCAAAGCATTTTCATTCTTTTACAGACTCACCATTTAAAAATAAAATAGAAATGAATATTCGGTTTCTATTGGGGCTAATTTTTTTATATGTTATGCTCCATATGAAAATGAATAATTTTTAAAATGTTAACATAATTAGAATATAGCCGTTGTTTATATTACTACCATAATTGCATTATTATAGCCTTAGTCTAGATAATTACTATAATTGTTGTATAGCCGTTGGTGATCTCTAGCCTATATATATCTCTCCTTGTACATGTATTACAAACACTTCAATATAAAGAATATCTACATTTCATATATCTCTGGCTCTCTCTTTATCTCTCTATTTTTGATAATTAACATGGTATCAGAGCCATGAATTATTATTATCTTTTTTTATCTTTATATATATATTTTTAATCTGAACAACACCACCTAACCTCACTGCCGGCACTGCTCTCTGCAACTGCAAACTACAAAATCTACAAAACCCATATATTTCAGAAGTTCTTCCTCTCTGCCACACTCTCTGCAACAATTTATACAAAACCGATTACCTACATCAACACCCATATCTTTCAGTTTTTCATCGCCGGCTATTCCAATTCGGGTTCGCGATCTCAGCCGCTGTTCCAGTTCAGGTTCGCGATCTTAGCCGCTGCTCCAATTCGGTCCGCCGCTATTCCAATTCGGGTTCACGATCTCAGCCGGATTCTTTCGCCATCACCGAATGGATCTCAACCGGTATCACTGACTTCAGCCGTGTTCCGCAGCGTTCAGTCGTGTTCTGCCGCTGCCCCTCTGCCGTCGCTGGCTTCAGCCGTGTTCCTCTGTATATATTTCTCTGCCGTGACTGTGTTCTCTCTCTCTATATATATATTTATATAATATATATATATGTATATATATATAATATATTATATATTATATCTTTATCTTTTACCTTACCCAGAATATATAATATTATATATATCCATAATATATATATATATATATATATATATATATATATATAATATCTTTACCTAAAATATATTATATATATTTTATCTCCCCCAGAAAAACAAAATCCTAAATCTCTCTCCATAAATATTATATATATTTATAATATATTATGTTTATGGGGGCAATTGAGCTATTGGACCTAAATCAAACTTATTTTAGGGGCTGCAGTCAGAGCTCTTGGGGGTAGTAATCAAAACTATTCACCAGGTACACAGTCTCATATATTTTCAAGTTATGGACCGGTCTGAAATTTCTCATCCTATTGGCACTACCTTGGAGGGTTGCTCAAATTACATTCTTTGGTCTCAAGCTATGTCTAGTTTTCTTAAAGGTAAGAAGTTATGGCGCATTATTACCGGTGATCTCTTTGAGCCAGTGCAAGTCGAAACAGAAACAAAAGAAAAATATGGTGATCGTCTTCAAGAATGGGATAGCAAAAATCATCAAATTATTACTTGGTTTCGCAACACTTGTATTTCATCCATTAGTATTGAATTTGGCCGGTTTAATTCTACAAAATCCATCTGGGATTTCTTAAAGCACCGTTACACCACTACTGATCTCGCCCATCAATATCAACTTCTGACCAATCTTCACAGCAAAACTCAACAGCCTGGTCAATCTATCAGTACCTTTGTCTCTGAAATACATGCTATTTGGGATCAACTATCTCTTTCTGAACCTACTTGGTCGTGTGCTACTGATGGTACAAAGTTTACTACCTATCGAGATCGTTAACGTGTCATCATGTTTCTTATGGCTCTTCAACCCTCATTTGAACCCGTTCGAGCCTCTCTCCTTCATCGGCATCCTCTGCCTACCTTAGAAGATGCTATAACTGAACTTCTTTCAGAAGAAACTCGTCTAAATACATCTCAACCTCAGGTTATCGATGCAGCTCTTGCTACTCATTATCCCAGAAAGAAACCAGCTTCATCCTTCTCCTCTCCCAAGGAGTGTACCTACTGTCACAACACAGATCACGCTTTATTAATCTGTCCCACCAGAATCTGCAAGTTTTGTCACAAGAAAGGCCCAGGTC